AAGCCATTTTACCGTTCTAACATTGAATGATTGTGTTTCTGAACTGATTAAGAATCGTTCTTAAAGTTATAGGATTTTACGAGGGGGTTGAGACATATCCTTTCATCTTGGCCATTTTAATTCAGAATAGTAGTTACCAAACCTGCCAATTTAATAAAAATGTATGTATGTTTATTTAAATGACATTTTTATGGTGTTCATCATAAAATGCGCCGTTTTTTTAAGACAAAATATTTAAATTTAATCCATTTTACCTTACATGTAGAATACTTCGTGAAAAATAGATCAATTTCAATTGTGTGCTATTTTGATTTATTTTAAAATGTAATATGAAGACACAATTCTCTTAGATGACGATGCAGAACAAATTGCGGCCCCCTTTAAGGGCTCCAGCCGCAAAAAGGTATCCATTTTTGTCTAACACTCTCAATAATTGAAAATGTATGAAAGCTTACTTCGCACTTCCTTGCAATAAATAATACAATTTTTTCCAAGCACTTTTGGCCTACCATTTTACAAGTATGTTAATTCCCATTTATTCCACTTGTACATCATTGTATCTAAAAAGTACAATACATATTGTAGGACAAATGATAATTGTGGTCTTAAACGAACATCGAAAAAGTGTTAACAATTTAAGCTGACTACTGTTTCCCTCCTAGCCTCAGTGATCCCTTACACTCGATCAGTTCAATAGGTTCTTAAAACTTCAAAAATGAATGTGTCAACTGTATTTGAGAACTGGAATCGACGATTCCATTTGAATCGAAACAAACCCCTTTTCAGACATAACAATAAAAATTACGTTGATATGGTAGTGCCTCAATACTTAGTGTTTTTTTAACATTTTCGAGTCAGTAGAAATATAATAAAATGCCTGTTTTACAACAGTTTCTTTAATTTTGTGATTTTATAGGTTTTTTTCACCCTTCTGGTCTCCCTTGCTATCACCCTAATCCGTTTGTAGGGTGGCGTCACTGCACTGCTTATATCACCATTTGATGGTCCTACTGTTTTCCCATTCACTTACTCATTCACCGTCATTCATTCCACATCTTAAATGGTTAAACGCTAGCCGGCTACTATTCGCGACAATAGTAAAGTCGATTTTAGAACTAAAAGTTCGCGCATGTGTTCTGAATCACATTATGAACGCCTGTGAACTTTCTGTTGGAACAAATCTCATATCATCGATGTTCTGTTTTAGACTTCGCCGGTAACGTATGAAGGGTACAAGGGAACAGATGAAGGTCTAAAAACCAAGAATAACAAACTGTAAAATGACTCGAACTTTGCATTAGTCTAAATTCAACTTTGAGCTTTTACACTATAAAATGATACAATCGCACTTTGGATTTGATATACTTAAAATTTAAACTTCTGTAACATTCGATAATTTAGTATTAAAGACAATCTTTTCATCGTCTTTCTCCAAGCAATTTTGGTTTCAGTTTATCACCCATTGATAAACATCAGTCCAAATTTTTGTTGTTAATTTTATGGCTTTTGATTTGGGTTTTCTGGGTTGTGTTCATTTGACAATTTTTCAACTAAAGAATTTCTCAAAACTTCCAAAAACTAACCCAAAGAAAGTCTTTCTCTTAGTATGTGTTCTTTTTTTAGTAGAATTTGTTTATTCAAGGCCATTATTGGTACTTTGAAATTCCTCATCTGCACCTTTGTGCAAGAACTAATGTTCTCCGAGCCATGTCTTTTTGAAATATTTTAGAAAAGCTTTAATGTTTTGGTTAGAGTCACCCTCACCTGTATCATCATTGTTTTTTTTTTTTAAATAGACATACACCAGCTGTAAAAGTCTCATCATCTAAGTTGTAGGGCATGAATGTCTGAAATAATTTTGTTTTTTTTTATATTTCTCATCTTTGACTCAATATTTTTCGAAACGAAGGAAACACCTACTTTAAATCCATTTGTGATAGCAAAAGAAGCATTGCGAGCGGCACATTTGGTTCCCAAAGAGTTCCATATAAGTTTTAGCAACTTCTGTTTCACTATAGCATACTGCAACAAGTGGATGAAATACTCTGCAAATTTCTGATGTTCTAACTATTAGAACAGGAAAATCTTGCCAAATCAATTTGTGTATAGTATCAGTTTGAATCTTCTTAGTTGCTGTTAAAATTTGCAGAAGTCTTTTGGTTGATAAAACATTTGGTTGAAATTGTTGAGTTAATACTGCACCAGTTCTGCAATTTTCCTGCAGAAATAGTAGACGATCCAAGAGTTTTTAGTAGTGAAGTCAAAAATGTTTTTAATTGTGATTTCACAGTTGGTTGTTCATTTCGGCTATGGAAGGCTGCTATCATGCCGTTAGACTTTTTGATTCCGTCGCTAAACTGACGCACTAACACCTTTGCTGATGAAGAAATCCCTCTAACGTTGTCCAGATGATTGGCATGATCATCTTCTGTTTCAAAGAGAGTCACTTTCATGGTCTCAGAGTGATACAATAAATAGTTTCCAGCAGGACACTCATTTTTTCTGTATCTACCACCTGTATTTCTAAAGATTATCTTTAATCCGTCCTGTGCTCTGTATGATGTAATTTTCTTCTAAATGTTATCCATTTCAATAAAGTCTCAGCCTCCTTTCTATTATTAAAACCGGGAAATAGAATAGAACTATAAAATGGCAGAATCGTACTTTGACTTACCTATTAAATGTAATTTGTTGCCGCTACACTTTCTTCTTCGGGGGCTTTTACTTTTCAGACATTTTATTTTCGCATTCAAATTCAGATTCATCCGATTGTGTATTAACAATAAAATTCTTTACACGTACTTATTATTTAAAATTAGATCTACACATACCATACACCCATATTAAAGGACGTAAATGTCGACAAACTAAAGTGGGCTCTTGGCTCAGCTACTTGAAGAGGATGAGAAGATGGTAAACGTCTCGTACAATTTCGGAAAAAATGGGGCTGTTTTTGTCTATCACTGCCGTTTTATTAAAATAAGTTGATTACTACATTTCAAAGTGCGATGTATCGTTTTTTTGTGCAAACTTTATTTATATAGTGTATTAAAATATTTTAAAGTGGATTTTTTTAAAAGCTGAAAACTATTACAATAAGTTATTGCTATTATGTTCTATCGGATTTAATATGGAGTTAATAATATTTTTTCACGCGCGTTTTGTCTGTTTTAAGTAACAATATATTATTTTTCATGTATTGCCTTTCATAAAAGTTTTAGTCTATTTTAAAGTTCATTTAATACCAACCCTTAATTAAACAGAAGGCTACCACAGAACTCCATCTGAGTGGAATGAACATATTCGAAATGACAGGTTAAAAGCATACCCATTCAATTTAATAGATATTCAATATTGGACTGATCACCTTACAAAAAGTGTCTATTTGTGAGGAGACCAATCAAAGTAATCACAATATTGGAAGAAATGCCTAGGGTGATACAGTATCATGAATCTTATAACGGAGCCTTCACTACTTCTATGGTGACACCACCTAAACAATTTACAATCGTAATAATCATATTATTATTGTAGAATATAGTTACTAATTATACTATCATTTTTCAGCTTTTTTTTTCCTCTCAAATTTATATATCAACGTGATAGTCCTCATAAATTATTTTTACCTATTTATACCAATTGAATTTCTATAATCGTTATACACAAAATTAGTAATCATCCTTTAAAAAATATTTGAATTCTTAATCTTTTTAGATGTAAGACGTACAAGTCTACAATTTTTTAAAATCGTTTTTTCATAAACTACTTTTTGTGACATTCATCTTTTTACCTATCTGCCCTTCATATTTGAAATTGCCGCGTTTGCCACATATTTTATCTCTAATAAAATGTCACTATCACTTTCAAGTTCGTAATCAAGCTTAAATGAGTCATTATTAAATTATCGGAATCTGTGAAATTGATGTAATTGTTCAAAAAGATTACATAAAAATTATAGCGTTTCTACATGAAATTTACTACAATAAATCGAAATACAAGAAATGTTTACTTATTGGCATTATTGATTGTATAGTTGGACAAGAAAATGTTTGTATTTTATGTCGAAATCAGTGTTTTATGACGCATTGATTGAATTTTTTGCCTTGACCCATGGGCTCCGCCAAAAATTGACAATCTCATGTACCGTTAAAAACACTGATTTTGCGCATTTAATACAAAAATAACTATTTAATGGCCGATTTTTTTTTTTATTGTTTAGCTTATTTTGATTGGTAGTTTGTATTGTGTTTTAAAAGTTTATATGAAAATAATTTCAACATAAAAAGGCAAGTTATAATTTAGAGAGGTTCTAAAGATGTTTCTTAGTGATATGCAGATATTTAAGGGTGTAAATCTACGTGAAAAATTAGTGATAAATTGCTTTATAAACTATGGTCCAGATGTCAAAATTTGTTTTCTTTCATTCTTCAATAATTAGATTCATTTTCTCGGACAATAAAACAGTTTTTATTTTTTAATTCAAAAACGGAGCAACGTAGAAAAACAAATCAAGATATACTTTAGGTTTAAAATTGAATGGGGAATTAAAAATAATTTTTATTTGGAAAAACCATTGACCTTTTTTTTCTGGGCTAGTGCCCGTACGCATGCCACTGTTAAATCTGAAAATTATTTTTATATTGAAAAATATGCACCATTATTATCACTGAAGTATCGCTGAAATATATCAAGCGGTTTAGCGGTTACGAAAATATTAATTAATTTTTTTTTTTTTTTTTCAAAACTTTAGCACCCTGTATTTTCTTAACGGAACATTTTTGGGCCATAGGTTATAACAAAGCAAACTATCATTAATTTTTCATATAATTTACACCCTTAAATATTCGCATACCATTAAGGAACACCCTGTATATGCAAAATAGTATATAACATAATAAAATATTTACTTCTTAATTTTTGACTAAAAAATATTTTCACGAATCGGATCATAGAAATATAAAATATATGAACAAGATTTAATTAATGTTTCATGTCCACAGTCTGGCTTCAACACCATCTTTGGATTGTGAAACCGATAGTCCTCATACAGAACGCAGAAATTCGTCTGGCACTTTACTTTCCCCAGAGGTGGATACTACGATAGAAACGGATGGATTTTACCTTCTAAAAAAAGATTCCCAACGGCGAACCACTCTTGCCAAGGTACTTATTAAATATTACCGTACTTCATTCTAGACTCAGAAATTCCTTATTTACCACCGTATATATATTTTTAGGTTCTTGCCAATGACGGTTTAAAAATTTGTGAAGTATGGATGCAAAAAGTGCGCGATAAATATTTAGGAGAAACAGTTTTAACAGAAAAACATCTCTATAGATTAATGGATGGTTTGAAATCCTACATCACCGAACAATCTATGAACGTTGTAGAAAGTACCGTCAGACAATTGAAAGAAGAGTTAGATTTCGATTCTGCTGCCATCAATCAACTTCAGTTTGCCATATATTTGTTTCAGGTAATTTGTCTTATAATAACTCAAAATCTTATTATATTTTATTCTAACCCATTTGCAGGAATCAGTCAATGATGTCCTTCGACTACATCCGATCAAACCCCATTGGATGTTCGCTTTGGACAACCTCGTAAGGTCCTGTATTCAAGCAGCTATTACAGTTCTCACTCCTGAATTGAGTGAGCACATAGCCAACAGTTCCCCAAGCACTGTCAACTCAAGTAAATCCAGTAAAACCAATGAAGGTTTCGAAGTTAAAGACACAAGTTTGCAATTACGAAATGAAAATATTAGGTTAAGTCAAGAATTGCTCGAGTGCCAGCGACAGTATCAGGGACTCGTAAGTATTTACAGTTTGTGGTAATGTTTTGGTTTAACACCACAACTTCAAAAGAGTTGTATTTATATTTTGAGATATTGGCTCTTGTACTAGCTAAACTAGTTCTGTTACTCCAGGCTATAGTCCCGTAAGTGTTGATTGGTCTCATATTGCTGTATACATCCATCGCAGTGTGTTTGAGTTACATCCCAATCTTTTACCTGCAATGTTTCTGCATAACATTAGGGCTTTTGTGGCCTTATTTACTACTTTCTTCTCATGTATGTTCCAGAGAAGTTTGTTGTCCAGGATTAGGCCTAGATATTTCACTTTTTTCCATTCTATATTTGTCCCGTCTAGTTTGACGGATTTGAGTTTTCTTTTTCTTGAAAAGGCTACTAGTGTTCTTTTCTTGGGAGTTTTTACTAAGTCCCACCTCATGGCACCATCTTTTGGTGTGTTCTAATCCTCTTTGGACTATATCACACAGGATATTTCCAAACTTGGCTTTAGCATGACTATGTCATCTACGGTTAGGCTCCGTATTAGTGAGGATAGAACTCCTCCTTGTGGAAATCCACTGGTTGTGCAGATAGAGAAAGTGTCTCTGCAGTTCTCGAAGATAGCAGCTGAGCTACCCAACTGGATGTGGTGCTATCTACTCATCTGTATACAAGTACTCTTTTGACAGATTCGTGTGGCGTGTTATCAAACGCTCCTTCTATGTCTAGGAAAGCACATGCGACCGTTTCTTTGTTTGTCAGTTCATCCTGGACATAGTCAGCTGTACCAGGGCAGTTTCTGTAGATCTTGCTGCTCAGTATGAGTGCTGGCTGTAATGGGATGGTACCCTCTCCAGGATTTCTGTTCTGATATAATTATCAACAGCCTCCTTCATTGTTTTAATACAAAGGATGTGAGGCTGCTGCATATGTGTTTAGCCACTACAGCGGCCTCTTTTGAGAGTCTGCTTGCCTTAGTTGTGTCCCTTATTAGAAAAGATTTGCTTCCAGGAAAGTGAGTTTCGTGTAAAAGGCGAGCTCTTTCCTCCTCACTCTCCGTGAAGTCGTTTTTTTAACGCCATAACTGTATAATCTCCTTCTTTTGCCAGGGCCTTGGGCAGTCGCTCTGCCGCAGGTGTACAGTTAATCTCGCAGAATTACTTGAAGCTGTTATGTTTAGCTTTCCTGATTTCTTTATTGTAGGTGGTAAGTGCTTCTGTGTAGCTCTGCCAATTTCCTCTGTGCTTGACCCTATTATAGACTTACTGCACTTCAGATCATAAGTTTGACAGTTGACGGTTCCACCAAGGAGCATCCCTACCAGTTCTATTTTTTTAAATTGGGCAGCTTGATTCATATGCCTCAAGTATTGCCTCATTGAGTTCTTTGAGATCGTTTTCCAGAGCAAGTGGGTGTCTGGTCCCCTTTTTAGTTTGGATAAGTTTCTAAGATTCCTGCTGAGGATCGTCTTAGAAGTGTCAATCTCTAACTTAAACACGATTATCTTATGATCAAATAGAGATGGTTTACTTGATACTCTCCAGTTTGTAATTTGATCTTTAATGCTTGGTGTTCTTAATGTGATATCTAATACCTCACTTCTTACCCTTGTTGCAAATAATGTTGGAGTATTCTCATATATCGGTAGGTAAGGCACGAAAAAATGATGCACTGCATGTGGATGGTTTGGAGGTCGGAAAGCGAGTCGCCAGTTGTGTGTAATAAGACGTTGTTCTCAGCTACCACACCTCATTACGTAATGGACTCGTCTAGTTTACGAGAGATGAGATCACGACTTAAAAGATAGATTGTGTGATGAAATATTGTCTACAGAAAATGTATTTTGATTCTATTGTGTTGAAGCGAGAGGACAGTTGTTACTCAAGGAATGGAAGATGTGTATTTTTTTAAATGTCTTATTGCTAGATGAAGTTTGAATGCACTTATGTATGTTGAATGAAGGTGTTATCTTAAGAACAGGCATGGCCTGAGAATGGTATGTTTAAATTTAGGGATGTATATTACGAAATTTAAACAGAAATTGATTATTAATACTTTAAATTTCACGTAATAGCTAATTATAACTTTATTAATTTAAAGTTTATGCCATTAAGACAGATCATAATTTCAAGCTCAGGCAAAATGGATCGGTGTTATACATTTTATTGAACGTTGTTGCTGTAAAACTTTGAAAGACATATTTTTTATTCTTTCAGCTGAAGCAGCTAATCGAATCTCACCGACTCGAACTCTCCCTCCGTCAATTATGTTGCCATCGGTGTTGTCATCACAACAACATTAACAATAATAACCCACAAAACGGCAGTCTCGAAGAAATCGTCGAAGATCAAAGACTGTCGAACTGGCTCGAAGGTCTCGGCATCCACGAGTCCGCGAAACGTATGTTCCTGGCCGAAGGCTATACACTCGACGAGGTGCTGTACCACATTAGGCGCGAAGACCTGGTGAGCATCGGTCTCAAGGGCGCCACCGTCCTGAGGATTTGGCTAGCCATCCAGCCCCATCGGCGTGAGCGCGAAGACAACAACGTGATTATTTGTAACGGGGTTACGACGGACGAGAGCGGCACCGTTTAGCGGGCAGCAAAGGCTGAAATGTTTAACTAAAACTCGAAGAGGTTTTCTTGACGTTTTTTTTATTGGGCTTCCGGACTTTATTGGAAATTAATTTTCATTAATTTTTATTTAGGGACTTTGGTAGTGGTTTCTACGTGTGATTCAATCAGAATTTTTTTTAATATTTTTTTTAAATACAAATTGGCGCGGGTAGGATTCATTCAAAACAGTGAGGATTCTTATAGAGAATAACATTCCCTATCATTGTTATTAAATATTTTTCTGTGAAATTCGTAATTCAAAAATTATTGTCCCATTAGTTTTTCGCTAAATATTTCTATTAGGGACAAAAACATAGTAAAAGGACAATTTAATATTCATGATTTTAATTTCAGCTGTTGGATTATAGAAAAGACATATTTAGTGACAGTGGGTTTTGCAGAGATCCTACCCCTGCGCCAATTAGCATTTACGTTTCGAAATAGTGCTCTTTTCGGTTCAATTGCATTTAGTACTCCCGTTTTTTGACCAGTCAAATGGGTTTTCTTGTTTGTTTTCAAAAACTGTTCGTTTTAAAGAATGGTAGATTTTATTTTAATATTTTTTTTATTATTATTTTGAACGTGGACTTAAAAGTGTTGCTTTTTATTTATTATTTCTTTTTTTGTCTTAATTTTTTTTTTGAGTTTTGTTAACTGTTCTAGAAATGTTTTCTAGATCTGAATTGAATTAAAACATTAGAAATGTTTATATTTTGCGACAATAACCTCTTCTCGTTTTGGAAATACGTTTTTTCTGTTAAACCCAGTGTAAAAATTAATTGGTTTCTAAAAGAAGCGAGCGGTATATGGCAACGTTGCTTGCTCGGAACCGTTTTCTCCATGATCTGTGATTTTTGTTTTATCCGATGTTTTAATTTTTAAAAGTCGTGCAATGACTGGATTATTTATTTTTTAAGGATTAATAATTTATTTAGTTTATTTTTATATACCAAGAAACTTGGTAAACGCCGAATTTTATTTTTAATTATACCTTGTTTTACCCGATTGGTCTTCCGAAATGTATTTATTATTAGGTTGCCGATATTAACGTTTTAACTGGACTAATAGTTATGTTTAAGGACATTCTTTTTGTTTCATTTTTTTTAATAAAAGTTAACTAGTCCCAATGATAATGTTAGTGCCTCAAAAACATCACCATGGTCTACCATATTTACTTACTGTTTGTTTAGTTTTTTATGAGACTAATAAAACGTTATTAAAATTAATTTTACTTTATTTGTTTTTGCACATCATCTAAGCCTCTCCTTACAGGTTAGAGCCTTTCAATTTATCCATTGAAAGTTTCAACAAAAGAAAATATGTCCATAATGTAAGGATAGTTCTAATAAATACTCCAGAAGTCTTTAGTTAATGATTTACCCGTTCGGACATTGTGTTTTGTGTTTCAACACAAACTTGGAAGACCTGGCCATTAGCAGATTAGTCAATTGTTTGACTGGTTAATATTATTATACTCTTGTTTCATCTATCTATTTTAATTGTCAAATCTACTTGAAGCTTCAAGTAAAGAAAAACTCAAAGGTAAGTAATAATTTTATAAATCATCAGAGTGTGCTAATTTCTGTAACATTTTTATGATTTTTTTTTTTTTATAAAAAAAGTTCAATGGATTTAATCATGAATCATTAATCATGAAGTTATAGCTTATATTTTAGATTATTTGGACAATAGACGAAAATTGAATTAATATGTTTCACGAACTTTTTTTGATATTTTTGGCAGACTTTTGTCCATAAAAAACTTGCCGGATAGACACTTGAAAAATAAAAAAGGTGTATTACAAAATTGTTCAATACACCTTTTTTTATCAAAATACTGTCGACAAACTTTCGCTGTTCACAAACTTGTTATTTAATCTTTTTGACAGGCAGGGGCGGGTGGGCCCACCGGGAAAACGAATGATTTTCCGGTGCGCTGGTCCTACAGGCAACCATAGGCGCCGCTGCCGTTTTTCCTCTTTTTTTTTTAAATAATGATGCGGCGCCGTTTCAGATGACTTCTCGCGCCGATCCAAAGGGACCTCTCCGCCACTGTCGACAGACATCCTGTCAAGACTACTAAAACAACTAAAAGAGACGGGCGCGGGCGGCACTACTCTAATAATTAAAATTGAACAAAAATAATGAGTAAGGATAATTTACTGACCGTAGCAGAATTTTATAAAATTAAAAATTTCCTTGGTTTATTCGGTCATTAATTTTATTTTCTATCGTTTGCACAGCACTACATACGTTTCGGAAAACTTTGTTTCCATCTTCGGGTACAGTCAAATTTAAAAAAAAATTATTAAAAAACACATGGGGACGATTAGAGTTTAAAAATTTTTAAAATAACAGAAACCACATCTTTTTGTTTCAGCGTGTGAAGGTGTATTCGAAATATTGATTTGGTTTAACACGATAACTATGAAGTAGGGAAACAAACACATGAGTTTTTACAAAATTAAAATATTACCAGTGGCGTTACAGTTGAGGATTAGAAAGCTTACAATTATTTAATAATGTTAAAATAAACGTTTGACAAATCTTTTATGTCTGTTTTATTATTTACAGAGTTATTTTTTTTAATATGTATCATCTCAAGGATTATCGGGCACGGTGGTGTAGCGGTCTATCGCGCTTATATTCATTTATAGGCAAGTTTATGAGTCTGAGACTGCTGGGTTTCGAATCCCAGACCGGACCATGTGGATTTTTAATTAAATTGCATGGTTCGGTTTAGGATTTGATGTGTGGCGTATTAATAGAAATTCAATTTCTGTTGATATGACATGCAGATTAAAAAAATTCACCATACATTACCGTCTCGATGATGGTGGGTGAGGTTTTCCGGGTTTTCCTCACCTGTAAGTCAAATGGCACCATCAATCATCTTTAAGTCGCCCCGGAGCGCCACGGCAAATAATAATAATAGCCGTCCCTTTCCCCGGACAAGCTCAGCTTTTGGGGTTAAAATTCACTCGTAAGGGGGTGAATTAGGGAGAGTATTATTATTATTGTTCTTTAGTTGAGATTAGGTTCATTTTCGAGAATTCTTACATTTTCAAAATCGAAAGAGTGCAAATTTTCTAACACATGTTTAGTTAGGGCAGTGGAATTTTCATTATTAGTTGCGTAATTATTTTTATGGTTTTTTTATTCTTTTATGTAGATACTGTTTTGTTTGTCCTATGTAAGTGCAATTACAGTCTTTGCAGTCAATTTTATAGGCAACGTTTGGTTGATTTATTTTACTAATTTTGGGCTTACAATTCTAAAATAACGTTTTAGTTGTATTGTTAGGTTTATGAGCAATTTTTATATTTAGAAAACATTTTAGACACTTGTTCAGAAAATCCTTTTACATATGGCAACGATATATAATAATTATTATAGTTATTACTATTACTTTTTTTTGGTATGTCATCGGCTTCAACTGCTAAGGTTATTTTGCCCCGTGTTCTGTGTAGGTTTTGTTACTATTTCTTAGCGCCACATTAGGGACAGCACTGTTAATTAGAATCCAACAGTGAATGGTCGAGTGGGGAATCCTACCAAGGCATCAGAATTAATTTTAAATAATTAAATTAAAAAATTTCGGCCAACGGTGGGATTCGAACCTGGGACCCTTGGATCCGCAGGCAGAGACTCTACCACTGAGCAACCCATCCCCTATTAATATTATTTTTTGAAAATTTAATTCTTTTTTTTTTGATAAAAGGATTGTAAAATTCTGCCGGATAATTGTTGTTATCTAGGACATTTTAGTTTTTTCCAAATTTTCTGTGTGGTATTTTGGGTTTGACAATTTTATTGCTCTATGAGTGAGACTGAGAACAACGCTTTTCTTGTGTGCAATTGGTGCATTTGTGTTAAAATTTAAATATCTACCAGACCAGACATGTTTAGTAAACCAGTTTGTATTATTATTACCAACCTCATCGTATTTAATTGTGAGGTCTAAAAAGTTGATATTATTCTAATGTGTAAATTGAATTTTATTATTGAAGGGTTGTAATTTAAATTGTTTATAATTGATGTTTCCAGATGTTCCATTACTATTGTAGTGGAAATTGGAGAGCCCATAGCCACACCGAAAACTTGGGAGAAAAACTCATTTTCATGTTTAAAAAATGTCGTTTCAAGACAGAATTTTATACCTTCTACAAAATGGTTTTGACAAAGTGACGTATGTTTTTTAATAAGGTCCCATTTATTTTTCACACATTCAATAGCAAGGTCCATACAAATGTTTGTGTACAGTGAAGTTACATGAAATGAAACTAAAATGTGATCTTTTGGCACAGTCTGTTTAGAAATAAATTCATGAAAATGCCAGGAGTCTCTAACGTGGAAGTTGCTTTTTCCAATTATTTTTCCCAGTGAATTTGAAAGGTATTTAGATAAGTTGTAAGTAGGTGAGTTGGTGTTACTAATAATGGAACGTAGTGGAACATTTGGTTTATGTAATTTATGTTATTTATATGGTCTCCCTAAATTACATAAACCAAATATTCCACTACGTCCCATTATTAGTAACACCAAACAAACAATATCTACATAAAATAATAAAAAAACCATAAAAATAATATCGCAACTAATATGAAAATTCCACTACCCTAACTAAACATGCGTTAGAAAATTTGCACTCTTTCGATTTTGAAAATGTAAGAATTCTCGAAAATGAACCTAATCTCAACAAAAGAACAATCCTTGAGATGATACATATTAAAAAAAAATAACAACTCTGTAAATAAATAAAAAGACAAAGGATTTGTCAAACGTTTATTTTAATATTATTATATAATTGTAAGCTTTCTAATCCTTGTAATGCCACTGGTAATTTTTAATTTTGTAAAAACTCATCTTTTTTTTCCCTACTTTATCGTTATCGTAAACCAAATCAATATTATTTCGAGTACACCTTCACACGCTGAAACCAAAAGATGGGGTTTCTATTATTTTAAAAAAATTTAAACTGTAATCGTCCCCATGTGTTTTTTAATAATTTTTTTTTTAATTTTGACTGCACCCGAAGATGAAAACCAAGTTTTCCGAAACATATGTAGTGCTGTACTAACGATAGAAAATAAAATAATGACCTAAATAAACAAAGGAAATTTTTATTAATATAAAAATGAGATTATTCATAAAATCTATTTCACGTATATTTTAGAATGTTTAAAAGAATTTCTCTACAGCATTTATGCACTGATGGTCATATTTGGCCAATCGTCATATTTTCTTGTCATTGCCGTGTACAATTCATTACGAATCATCATGTATATGGGTGGTGGCCACGGGGAGGAGAGGGTAAAAGTTAAGCATTCCAACGATAGGGCTGCCAGGTGTCCTGGATTTGAAGCTCTAATCAGTTCACCGCAGGACAGAATAAAGGTTAAGTTTAAAATTTTGTGTTTTTCTCATTATCTGTTGTTTTAGTTTTCTTCAAAATTCGAAATTTACACATTTTCTCAAATATCTCGAATACGGTCCATTTTACGGAAATGTATAGAACAAAAATTATAAAAAATAATATAACAAACAACTTTTATTTGAACAATTTTCTTAAACATTGAATTTTTTCATTTTGTAAAATTACCCCCCAGATGTTCCGACTCTATCCAAAATCTAATCAGTTCATCTCGGATGGGAATAAAGCTTAAGGCTGTGTTTCCCGACAAATGGCGGCAAAATAAGACATGTAAAAAAAAACTCACCTTTCGTGCAAGTTAATTTAAAAAATATGTACTTTATCCAAGTTTTCAAAATATTTTATGATTCTGTATGTTATTAACTTTATGATGATACCATTTATATTGCTAAAAAGACTTGCGTAACAAGTTAAATAAAAATTTTATTTACACAAACTTACGGGCATGCAGATGCGGTAATGTATATTTAAATGTAATTCAAAATTGAAGAAGTTATATAAAAATTCTTGTATATCAATGAATTCCCCAAAATTTTTTGTATACCACACTCTATCATTGTTGTAAATACGTAATAAACTCGTAGACCTGCACCTTGCAAATATTGTTGGAAAATAGCCATTTTGTCACTAGATTTTAGTTCAGTACAATTGCTGCGAGGAGTTACCCGAAACTTTAGTAAACAATGGTCTGCTATTCATATATTATCCAGTTAAACTCTCTGTAATCGGTAATACATTAGATATCTCGTCGTGATAGCGCAGCCTTGGGCTATTTCAGACACAACGATTTCGT